ATATCCTACGAAAGCTATCACCAGCCAAAGGAAGGAACCACATACAAAATTACATTTCCAATGGTGAAGTTACATCCTACTTAAAATGAGAAAATATACTGAGCTAGTTACTATGAAGACAGTTTGTCATTCTGTGCTCTGCTAAATGGGGAAAAACTTAAGATTACTTCTTTGGAGAAATCTTATATAACATCTGAACATAACAAGGCCCCAAACAACACATACTGTGAGAAAGCCACTCCTTAATGACAGCTGTGGTTTGTACTGTCTTTGAAAGTCTCAGCAAGTGTACCTGCCTGGCAAATGGTGCTGCAACAGCACTAAGAGTGGCTTTTTCATGTTATAAAATCAACTTCTATCAGTATTCAATTAAATTATTTTCTGGTATGCTGAGACCCAGAAACATGCAATCTCTGGCAGCAATAACCCTAATTCCAGTGTAATCCTATATGTGACTATTCAAAAGTAAACTTCATTTAGTTTAATGGGATTTACTCCAAGTATAGGTTTAGAGCCACCTTGAACTGGGAACATCCAGTAATAATGCATAGGAACAATTTAGGTGTGGATGGTTAATAGCATATTATCTGCAGTTCTACAATTGCCCAGTATAATTGCAGATAATACACTATTAATACAGAAATATTCCACAAATTTCACAATCATAAATTGAACTTGCTTCACAACTATGTAGTGGAAAGAGAGTATTATTCCTATTTTCATTTGAACAAGCGAATATTTAAGAGAACTTTCCAAAATGATGAGGCCTGAAGGGAAATATCCTATTACAATGCACGTAGACTGCCTCAAATATTATACATTTCCTACATGAATAGCAGTTTTGGGAAGATTATCATGGTTACAGGGAAAAAGGATGCACCTTTAATCCTTCCCACTGACTACTTTCATGTGACTTGTAAGGATCATTGGTTCACACAGGTACTGACTATGCAATAAATAATGCCTGAATGTCCTATAATAGTTATCTGGGGCAGAATATTTTCCAGTGTTTCATTTTTTCCATGGGAAAAATCTATTTCATAAATTTCTTATTAAAAATGAATGCACACCCATTGCAAACGCATCACAAGGCAGCCCTGAGGTTTCAAAGTTACATTCACTGGTTTCCAGGTAGTTACAGTGGTGCCTCAGCTCACGAACGCCTTGGTTCACAACCAAATCGAGTCACAAACAAAAATTTCATGAAAAATTTGACTTGGGTCATGAACTCTGCATTGGGTGGCAATGTAGTTGCGTTCATGCAGGGAAGACATGAGTGATCACGGGTGCGCTCCTGCAGGAAAGATGGGCACAATCTCCCCCACCCCAACCAGCATGATCACAGCCATCTCCCCATCTCTACCCCCCCCCCACCCACAAATGGGGAGATGGCCACACTTGCAGTTGCGTTTGTGCAGGGAAGACATAGAGGAGCTGACAGAAGAACTGGCTGAACTCCAGAGTGAGCAGCAGAAGGCATTTGCTGAGGATTCCACTGAGGAAAAGGAAGACAGGGAGGAGGTTAGCAGTGATGTGATACAATCCATTATGAAAAAATGGAATGAGTGCCAGGATTTCTTTGAGAAGCAGCACCCTGACATAACCGTAACAAACAGACTGTTGAATCTTAAGAACGATAACGTGGTCTCTCATTGCCAAAGGGTTATGCAGCGCAGGAAAAAACAAGTGGCTATAGACAGATTTTTCACCAAAATTGACCCTGCAGCTAAGAGACAAGAGAGAAAACCCCTGAAAGAGATCTCCCCAGTGTCCTTATGGAGGGGGACTCTCCCTCAAAACAATAACCTCCCCCGCACCTAGGTTAGTGTTCTCCACTGTACTGTACAGTACTTTGTTACTTTGTTGTTCGTCACTTCGTTTCAATTTTTTCTGATTAAAAAAATAGTTACAGAATGGATTAACCTTATTTACATTGAACCTTATGGGAAATTTGACTTGGCTCGCGACCAAAAATTGGCTCACAACCACATTTGGAGGGGCCAGAACAGATTAACCTTATTTACATTGAATCTTATGGGGAAATTTGACTTGGGTCACAACCAATTTGGGTCACAACCAGAGTCGTGGAACGGATAAAGTTTGTGAGCCAAGGTACTACTGTATCCTTAGCAAGTATGTGACGCAACACATATATGTATGCACATTGTCAGCACTTAATAAGCAGTTCTTTGGGTTGATAAAATGAATTGTCAGACAGAGGGCTCCAAGCTTGAGGCCCCACATCTATCAGTAAGAGCTCTGTCAATAAGAGTTAGGCATGGGGAGAGGACAAAGGTGATTTTGCCTCTATTCAGCTAGATGATCCTCTGAGACTACCTAAATGACTTATGTTTTAGCGGGCTGGGAGGGAGCTGGAGATGACATAGGATACTGTGCAGCCTACCTTCCCTCCTCCCAACCATGTAAGAAGATTTCCACAGCATTTGGAAGGAGGTAGGGAGGGAAGATCTGCCGTCAGCTCTTTTCCTCAGTGCTCCGTCTACCAGTGTGGAAGAAATCTACAGCACCTCATGGGAACCCAGAAGCTATTTAAAGGTCACAAAATTGCTCTCTTAGGGCCCAATCCTATGCAAGTTTATACTGATAGAAGTCCTACAACTTTCAGGGTTCCCCAGCCAGTCATATACCCTTAGTTTTAACAGCACATGCTATTGTCTCAACATTTTTACAAGCATTTCAATAAAATGTCTATGAAATATGAACTTCAAATCACATTATTTGATTTTTCTCTCTCAAATATTTCATGCCAATTAAGTGTGCTGTCAGAGCAAAATGTTAACTTATAACCATAACTGACTAACGAAGTCCAGGCCTGATTCAAGCTGCTAGTACTAACATTCAAAACTTTTAATGGCTTGGGGGCAAGTTATCTAAAGGATTGCCTCTCCCATACGTACCTACCCAGGTGCTGAGGTCATCTTTGGGGGCTCCTTCTCCAGGAGCCCCTCCCAAAGGATGTGAGGCAGGTGGCTACCAGGAGGAGGGCATTTTTGGTTCTGGCATCCCAGTTGTGGAATGAACTCCCTAAAGAGATGCGCCTGGTGCCTTCTTGGAATTCTTTTGGCACCAGGTAAAGACCTTTTATTTACCCAATGTTTTAAAAGTTTAACTTCATTTTTAATATTGCATTTTATTCTGTACCTCTGCTATACTTCTATGCTGATCCAATTAAAACTCCTGTTGTGATTTTGTTAAGTTAATTTTATCTTGTGTAGTTTATCTTTTTAAATTTTTTGTTAACTGCTCAGAAAGTCTCAACTATTGGATGGCATAAAAATGAATAAATATGCTACCTGTTAAAATAATCATGCAAAATTAGATCTCTTTAGGGCATCAGAAAATACTCTAATGTAAACTAATTTCTCCCTACGTAAATTAGGTTAATTTGCATTGAAAAAAAATTCTAGTTCAAAATTTTCTGTAAACCTCACATCACTGGCCCTTAATTAGATACAAAGGTTTTAATACCAGTACAGCACAAATAAACATCAGACCTAGGTATAACTCAAGTCTGTAACCTTATAGTTCATTACAGTTTGTTTTGTATTTATTGCCTTAATAAATTTTTGCTTTTGTTGTTTATTGCCTTAATCATTGTAATTATTATAGTTTTAATTATTGTAAGCCGTCCTGAGACGTTTTTCCATATTGGACGGGGTAAAAATGTTTTAAATAAATGAATGTTTTAAATCAATAAAAAAATGACTGTTTTTTACTGTTACTTTTAAAAACCGTTGAGAGTCTTTTGGTGTATAACACTACAGAATCTTGTACAGAACAAGATGGAAGAACTTTTTAAAGGATAATAGCTGCATTTTAAATAATTACCCTTATGCTCTGTGGAGGATCAGAATTACAAGAGAGCACTACATGGTAAGTGTAACTGCCTCTATTCTTATTATTTTTAAGGTGTATTTTTAAAAATTATTTTTCAAGGTTTGTATCTGTCCCTTCACAGCTATGTCCCCCTGTATTTTTTTCAATAGGGAAATGAGGTTTACAAGATCTGAGCCAGGTTATGAAGGGCAGGACATTTTGGAGGGCAATCATTCACAGAGTTGTCATAAGTTGAAGATGACTTGGTGCCACATAATGGCAACAACAACAGGGAAATGAGAGCATTGCACTTTACCTTTCTTACAAAGGGTACTTTGTTACAACTCTCCAATCTATCCTTCATCTCCAGGGAATAAAAAAGCCCCTATTTAAACATGTTGACAGATCAGCAAAAAGATAAGAATCCATATAACACTGTGGATACTTTGTATTAAATTTAAACTGAGTTACCTTGCCTGCGTGCATATCAGGGATTCCTAGCCGATAGGTCCTGCACTAGAATGCTATCACTACACGCAAAAAGCATTAAAGATCTAGTTTAAATGAAGTGATAAGAGTACACAGTGCGGCACTGATAGATCCTTTTTTTGTTTCTCTGGCATCATGTCCTGCATGATTTTTCTAGGCTCATTGTAGCCTAAAAATATTGTCCATACTTTCTTTTACTTCCTCCATAGAGCCTCCACCCAGCTCTCTAGCTTTCACTGGGGAGCACATTACCTTACAAACCAGTTTTGCTTCAGCTTTCAGATTACACTTGTATCCCTCAATAGTTCATGCTCTTAGGGCTGCTTCACATATAGCCCAGTTCTTAGACAAACAGCTGAGTTCTTAGGCAAATGGGCCTACCTGTTCCACGCACAGACCACAAACAGCATCATGTAGTGAGTGCGACCGTGTACATACGGGGAGAGGGGGGTTTACTTCCGTGCTGGGAATTCCTCACGTGTGCAGAGGTCTTAAGCTTTTTGTGGCTGGGTGTTTAGGGTCTCTGCTTCTCCGGAGGAGGGGAAGTGACGAGGAGACTCCTCCCCAATCTCTACCGTAGAGCCGATGTGATGCCACGGCTACTGCTTCCTTGTTCTCCAAAAGGCCTGTGAGTGTGTGTAGAAAGGGTCCCTCCCTCCGTGTAAGAGCCCCCCCCCCCCCTTCCCCGGATGTCTCAGAATCTCTTCACTGCTCCTGCGAGGCCGCTCTCTCAGAGACTAGGCCCCGAGCTTCTGGCGGCGGCGGCAGGAGCGGCAGCTGCTCCGGCATGGGCGAAGCACCGTGACAGCGAGGCCCGAGTCCGTCCGTGCGGGAGCCAGGAAGGCGGCAGCAAGGCCTCCTTTGCCTTGGGGGCACCGGCGTCAGCGGTGGCCGCCACTACGGCGCGAAAGGCGTTTCAAGGCCGGTCTGCCGCGTCTGCTCTCTTGCTCGTCCCGCGGTTGCTGCCGAGCGGCAACGGCAACGACGACGAGGTCACGACGGCAGCGGTGGGGTCAGAGGGTAAAGGTCGCTCCCCCAGCATCCTCCGTGCGGGGTGCTCAGCCATCTTGAATCCTCGGGACAAGAAAATTCATGCGGTGAGTTCGGCCCTATTATTCTTTCCCCGCCGCCGCCTCCTCTCCTGCGGCCCATCTGAGAATCTCCCCAGGGAGTCCGCGAGGGCCGCGGGGAGGCTTTCCGCCGGCTCCGGTGTGGTTTCGGCTTGCCGGGACCGGCCTCATCTCGCTCGGTTTCCGTTTGCTTTTGTCTCTCTGAGGGAGAGGAAGGCGGGGGGGAGAAGAGATGTGTGAGGGAAAGAGGAGGGGGAGCAAGGCGACGCGGCGACGGCGCAGCGCCTGAGACCGGAGTGCAGGCGCCCCGGGGCCCTGCCCGTTTGCCCGCCCGCCGTCCCTTCCCCGATGCCCGAAGTGAGGAGGCAGGCCTCGCCGCGGGAGGCGGCATAAGAGAGGCCGCGTTCGTCGGGCCCGCTGTCCTGCACTGCTTTGGCTCCTTCTCGCCGGCCGCGCAGCTTCCTTTCCCGCCGCCGCCGGCCCGCTTTTAGTGTCTCCTGTCCGCGTCCCTGGCCTAACTGTGGCCGGCGCTGTTCTTTATGCTACTCGAGTGCGAGCGCAGTTCGGGGCCCGTGTCCGAGCGTCGCGTCCCCTCTCCCTCCCTTCCCCGATGCCTGGGGCTCTGGGTAAGGAACCGACAGGGCAGGATTCGTCCCACTTCCCGTTCCCTGGCGCGGGGAGGGACGTGCTAAACCTTTGCGGTAGCTTTTGTGGCCTGATTATCGGCGCCCCCGATCAGGAAGGCCCGGACTGGAAAGGGGTTCCTTTAATGCCTGTTGCCTCTGTCTTCTCCGCCGCAGTCCTGTGAGCAAGCAGCTGCAAAAGTGTGTCTTTCTAGCACCCAAGATTATTTTAGAGCAAACTTTCAAATAAGTGATTGATTGTTGCCTCTTCAGGAAGAGATCTTGGGTTGGTGATCTTGTTTTTGTTTTGAAAGCTTTCGTTTAGTGTGGTGTGTAGCGCTGTTCGCCGGAGATAAGCTGATAACGGGTTCTGTGCAAATAGTTAAATTGCAGTTTTCTTTCCAGGGGAAAAAGCAAGGTGAGCCTTTGTTTGCGTTGAAGTTGCGTGTAATAACGTGAACAGAGCTGTCACATTTCAGCAAGCAAGGGTCAGGTTCTGGTGAGATTAAGTTTATTTGTCCCACTAGGAAAGCAAATGTAAACATGTTTGATGGAGTTTTGTTAGGTATCTTGGATGTTTATCATTTTAAGGTGGTATTTTATATGTAACACAACTTTCTCTAAATTGTCTTTTAGTATGATCTAATCATGGTGGAATATTCTGGGTGCATTTGAACTTCATTATCCCAGTTTTCTTAAATGATGATATACCTGAGATACGTGGTGTAGCATTCCAGAGTACCAATTCTTGGGTCTAAAATTGTTAATATAAAGTTTACAGTATGGTTGTGGGTGTACCAGGCAAGTTGTTTGATTAGATGTAGTGCATCTTTTTATGCAAATATAGGTGCAACCAATTAAGATCTGAAGTAAGTCTGTAAGCCTGCTATGTTTTTGACCAGGAATTAGTAGTGTTTAAGTACTTTCTTTATTGTTTTTTCCCCCCAAGATGATTACAGTGTAGGGCAGTAGCACTGAAAATGAATCATTTACACTTTCTAAATGTTTAGTAAATTTTTTTTGAGAGGAGTGAAAATCAGTCTCCTTACCAATACCAGTTTGTGTATCAACCTAACATTGCTGAAACTTGTTGGTGGTTTTCAGTCTACTTGGTTAGGCTTTTTGGTAACGTTAGACTTTAGTGAAATTTGTCTGAAAAGTTATTGAGTGTGCATAGAAGTGAACCAAAGCTCTTCTGATATCTTTGGTGAACATTTTAATGCCATTAACTTAGTTTTCTCCAGATGAGGCTTCTGTATGGATTGACTGAATCTGCACAAATCTTTGAGCTCTATCACCAACTTGAGTCAGCCATATAACTTGTGTACTAAACTGGGGTAATTCAAAGTTGTGTGCAGCATGCAACTATAATTCCAGTAAGTAATCATGCAGTGTTTAGTAGTACTTATAAATACACAATATTGGTTGTAACGGTGGTCATGGGAAGGGACTGCAATCTAGTAGAGGCTCCACTGGAAGAACTGTGGAGCCAGTGTTCACAATTTCATGTGCAGGCCTCCAAGCTGTTTGTCTCACTTTCTAGAAGGTGTTCCAACCACTGGGATGGGAGTTTCTGGGGGAAGGAGGAATGGGTGAAAGCTGCTTTACTCCCATCCTCCACTGGGAGCATTTGAGTAGAGTTCTGTTCAAAGGAATTCTGGATCAAAGCTATACATTATTGCAAATCATGAGATTTGGCAACTAGATCACTTGCACAGCAGTGTTATACATATTTACTTGGAAGTAAGTCCAGCTGTGTTGACTTAATAATACCAATAAATGCATTAAGGTTTGTGGCTTAAAATAGGGTTCTCTTCTCCACCTGTCTCCGATTTTACACTGTATTTCTTTGAAGCTTTCTACTGATGATAAATGCTACAATTCTGTATGCATTTATCTGAATGTAGTCTTGAACTCAGTGGGATATTGCTGAGTAAACATGCACAGAAGTGGTTTGCACATTCACTAGAGAATCTGAAACATACTTGATGATATATAATTGATTTTATTTCAAAAATTCAGAATAGGTATTTTAAAATTCACTACATTTTAACACTTCATTGCCTGTGTTTGAGCATAATGATAATTGAGAATCTTGGCTTAATTAAACCATAATTTGGGTGAGCTACATACTAGTTTATACAGCCCATTTACTTCTCTCTATCTGGTGATTCAAGTCTGCCCAGACATGCCAAGTTAACAACAAAAACTGGTTTATTATCCTGACTTATTTCAGGCACGTAACAAAATAAGCTGTCATGCAAAGCTGCCTGCCCTTGTTCATTTACCTGTTTGCACAAAGAAAAGAGCAGAGCAGGAGCAAAGTTTCACATCATGGTTATTAAGCCAGACTTCTTGGCTCATCTCTGCTTGCAAATATTCCCTTTATCCATTCGCTTTCTTCATTAAATTGTCTGCATTATTTTCCAGCTAGTGTAGCTGTAAGTTTCTCTCCCTTAGAAAGGAAACCTTAACCATAATGATTATTTCATGGTGGACTCTAATTATTGGATATATTAATTACACCTAATGAATGATCAAATATTGATAGCATAATACCATGCACTAACTGGGGCAGTTCACACATAACAATTGCCCATGGGCCATTAAACAATCCATGGACTACCAGGACAAATCAGAGTGAGTGAACTTATAGCCCCCATTACTTCTGCTTTTACTCAATGACCTAAGATTGACTCCTTTGTAGTTTGTTGATTATGATATCTGAGCTGAAGGACTGGGTTGTTCAGCCCTTAAACAAGGAGTTAACTCATGGTTTGTTAATGGGCTAACTATTGAGTTGTTTAGTTCCTAAACAACACAGCAATTTGGGCTTGGATGGCTTGTTCAGCAACCTGGTGCCAAGGAAACAGTTGTGGGTTGTTAAGCAAATGCAGAAGCGGCAGGCACACTGCTGGCATGTTCTAACCTGTTTATGACAACAGACCGTGGGTAGTTTTGCTGATGTGTTATGTGTAAAGATGGTCATTGACTAGTTTCCCATACAGTAGACACTTGTGCAATTACCAGATATAAGTTGTGTTATTTGCATGCCACTTCCGAGGTAGAAGTAGATCATATGTAATGCTTGGAGTGGTCTTTGTCTTCTGAAACTCGTGCACTTCCTGGTTTGCTAGGGCAGTTCTCATTGTGACAGGCTAGATGTGACATTTCATGTGGCTGAAGGAGATAAAGTTGTCAGGATTTCCCCATCCTCTGGAATCTTTTTTGAGAGGAGGAATTTCAAAGAGGGGATTGCCTAATCAAAGATAAATAATTTTGATTTTAAGTGCTTCCATTGGTGTGGCTATACATATGCTCACTGTAGTTTTATTATTCTATCTTTTCACATGCTTCTGGGCTTTATTCCTTTTTTTAGTAATTAATAATGCAATTCTGTACATGGTTTCTGAGAAACAGGTTCTATTGAGTTCAGTGGGACTTACTCCAGGTACCTGGGTATAGGATTGCAGCTTCAAGCATTGTTCAAGTGACTTAGTAGTGGTGTCAAGTTGTTTTAATGTTAAAAAATCAATATTGCATTAAATATAATGATGGAATTGTGTTCTGTGTTATTTTTAAAAGATGAATTCATGTGTTTACACTTAGTTAAAGGAACCTGTTTCAGAGCTTTGCAGGGATCTGTTGTGCCTACCAGTTTCATGTTGGAAAATGTTTCTATTAACATCAAGATAGTCGATAGTCCTGTGCAGAGCTCTTGTGCACAAGTGGTAGCCTCTGCACTGGGGCTCTTAATATTGTCATATCTTCAAAGTTCACTGTACTATACCATTAACATGTTGCTATATTGTGGCTAGTAGTGCTTTTGCATACCAAGCACTCACAAATAAAAAAGGCTAAACTTTTTAAAAAGTATTCAAAAAAAGTATTCAAAAAGCTAAACTTCTAAATTTAACTACTTAGATTGTCTAAAGACAAGGTAAAATATATATGATATTGTTAAAATTTTAGCAGATTAATTCAAATGACATCTGTGACATATTCTTAATTATTTTATTAATTTATATCTTCCCTTTCTACAGATATTAAGTGTAGGGTGGCTACACACTTTCTGATCTGAAAAAAAAAATGTGTGTGTATTAACTGCTTCATCTGATCAGTTGTTACTGTTGGACATTTTATTTAAGAGCTGAACATTTGTTCTGAACTGAGCATGTATTTTAATATTTCTTTTCACAATTGATTAGCAGTAGTCATTTCTATAAAAAAAATTGACTGCATCTTAGTAGAAATAGTTTTGATAGGTCTTGCAGTTGCCCTGTTGTGGCAGGAAGATCCTAACTCATCTGGAGGTTGTCAGGCTGGGGAAGGAATCATCAGGGCAAGCTTTCCCAATATGGGTAGAAAGATTATCACCTGCTGGCAACAGTTCATCATGTTGCT